ATATATATATATATATATATATATATATATATATATATATAGAGAGAGAGAGAGAGAGAGAGAGAGAGAGAGAGAGAGATGTAGAGAGAGATGTAGAGAGCACGTTGACTCGCGGCGTTTACATACCGTGTGGCGGCGAAGCACGACTGTGTTCCGACGGGCTGTGGGGGCTGTGGGGGGAATGCGAGCGCGGCATGTAGATGCCGTGAGGTCCTGGATATCCCGGTTGCGGCGGATAGCCCAGGTACGGGTCGTAATGGTCGAAGGCGACCATGTACGGGTCCGCCGGGTAGCGCGGGTCCGCGTGCTGATAATCCTGCGACATCAACGGCACCGACATGTAACTGACCGCGCCCGGATCCGGCTCCATGTGGGAAACCTCGCGCACGACTTTCGTCACAGTCGTCACCTGGGGAAGCGCCCGAGCGCAGATTAGTAGTCGTCACACTCACCACGTCACCTAATATATATCTCTCTCTTCACGTATACGCACACACACTGGCGCGTCTTCGACATTTCCTCGCTGCGACAGACCACGTGACGACACGCGACACGTGGCGTTCTCGCGAGTGCGTTAACGTGATTATCGACGGCGCGCGGACTTCTCGCAACCGCAGCTCGTGTCAGAAGTTCGTGCCGAGTCGTGGCATAAAGTTCCGATCTTCGTGGATTTTCGTGGGTCCCGTCAAAGGAGCGAGTTTAAGGGGGAAGAGCGAGAGAGAAAGAGAGTGACATATCGCGACGTGTGCGGCTTTTCAATTAATAAGATAGCATTCGGACATGTAATCAGTAGATGATTAGAGAGAGAGAGAAAGTATATTATTATACACAGATTGGAGATACAAATTAGACAACTGATAGGATGCAGCGTGAGTAATGCACGTGCATTTATCCGGGGATGCATAGACGCTTGTGTAACGAGACTGATTTGCTGGGGCAAAATGTCATTAAAAAGAAAGAACCAAGTCAAATATTTCAGTTACTTTTATAGTTCGTAACTATATACGAGATACTAATAATAGTCACGCGCGTGAATCTGTCATTATTAATTTTGCGCGACTTGTCAACTAGATATTACATGCAAATATTGGATCGTCGGAGTGAGAGAGATATCATTAGAGGAAATTAAATATCTTAAAGTTACTTTTTCCAACGTCGATAATCGCGCGAAATGTTGGTGATTTCTTTGCCTGCGAATTTCCGCGCGACTCGCGCAAATTTATCGTTTTGACGAGCGAGAAAGAGGTAGGTAGGGCCGCGGGCGGAAAATACGCGGGCAGAACGGAGATTGATCTTACTTGCTGAGAAGTTTGTTGCTTGTGCGTCCGGATGAGCAGCGGATCCTCCTGGACGGACAGATGAGACGAGTGCAACGAGTGGGTGTCCGCCTGTCCGTTACTTCCATGGTAATCCGTGTCGCCCTGTCCGCTGCAGGTGAATCGGAGATAGAAATGAGAGTCGACCGCGTGGATAGGGTATCGCGCGCGAGATATCGAAAATTACTGTCAATAACATAGAAGATAAGGCGGACGCTTACGTGTATTGTGGCATGTCGGGGGCTTTCTCCTGCAGGACGCGTCTGAAAAGGATCATTTCTCTTTGAGAATCCCTCGTCTATCTTTCGCAGCAAACTTACATATTTCTCTCTAAAGAAAAAAAAAGAAGTATTCCTCCTTCTAAAAACAACAACAGAAAGAGATGCGAGCACTCTCAGCGAAGAAAATATCGTTCCGCGGGAACGAGCGTTCCGCGGAAGCAAGTGTTCCTGCGGGGGGGGGGACGGGGGAGGCGTGCGCGTTTACGAATCTTATTATTCTCGCGTCTCGTTACATCTGTCCGCAATCGGACAGAAGGAAAATACTGGTTGCGCGCGGATGTTATTCAGAGAAATAGCCGTCGCGAACGCTTCGCGGCGCATCCATTCTGAAACAAACGCGGCGTTTTGCGGCTTCGCGGACGCAGACGCGAGCGACGCGCGAAGATCCGGCCGATTAAAGCGCAAATAAATCGCGGAACTTGGCGTGCAAATTCCTCGATCAGTTTCGGAGCTTGCGATGTCCACGGGCGAGAGAATTGGATCGGACGTCGCACCCTTTAAATCCCGACATGAAGCATCGCTTCTCTTTAACGCTAGGATGATTGAATCTCCCGTTCCCTCCTATTTTTTTTCTCCCTCGCAAAAATATCGCGTGGGATTAAGCGGCGGATAACGGCTCGCGTTATTCATTTTCATTTCATTGCAGGCACAATCGTCCGTTGCTCCATTATCCGTCGCTTACGATTCAAATCGTCTGTCGGCGTCTCGATGTATTTTCGAGGGCAAAAAGGAGAATGAGAGAGTGAGAGAGAGAGAGAGGGATATGAGGGGGAGGAAAAAAAGGAAACTGACTCCGAATCGGTCAAAGAACACGTTGCGCATGCAAATGATATGTAAACCGCGCGAATACAATTTGACAGGGGAATGGCGCGCTACGAGCGACGTTTCGCGATTAACGTATAATGGAAAGCAAACTTCGGCTGTCGGGAAACTAAATGACGAGAACAAAATGATGAGGCGTACTCCCACACACACACACACACACACACACACACACACACACACACACACACACACACACACACGCACTCACACACAGGTACACTTACACACAGTGCAGATGCAACAAATGTAATAACAACAACAGCAGCGGCAACAACAACGTGAACCAGGCGCGACGATGATTTCGCGGAGAATGCCGCTAATTGCACCAAGCATTCTTCCCGCTGCCTCGTCACCGCCTCGTGCACGCGCACACACACATAAGCATGCCAAATGATTACGCAAACATGCGTCGATGCGGCGGACTTACTCATTCCGAAAGAGTTACGTGCGCCTTTTCGCGCGATTCAGCGCGTTATCAGACGCGCATCGATAACGATCAGATATCAAATCGTGTTTTCTCTGCGCTCGGAGAGAAGGACACACAGCGATGACAAGTTGCACAGGTGACGACTGTACGAGTTTTGTATATAGAAGCGACTGTAGTTACGCGAGAGAACGATTCAACCTACAACAGGACTTTCCAACAAGATTGAGGATGAAAATTTGATGCACGATTTGGAAAATATAGACAGCACCGAGGTTCTTCCTCGCAGTCGTTGAAGGAGTCAAGCATGTCCAATTTTCTTCTCTTCAGGGATATTCATTGACAAGTTTAGAACATGGGTGAAAGATACGCAGTTAGTAGAAAATAAAAGCTATTCTATTAATTTCGGACGCCCCCAAAAGCTTGGATTTTCTTTAAATCTTGCGTAGAAAGACTACGTATTGGCAACAAAAACTCGAAAGTCATAACTTCTGGGTTGGATCATTTTTGCGTAACTATGTCAAATTAATCTGTATAGTTTAACCAACTTTTCTGTGATTATTAAAACTAAAGTTTCAGTCGCAATGACTGTGAAATAGTTCGTCAAACCTACACGGAGAAACATAATTTTGCTCTTATTGCAAAATCGTCGTTGCATATTCGTAGTGGCATTAAAAAAATTTAGTTGACGTAACTAATTTTACAAATTATTCATTATCAGAGTAGAAGTAGTTTTGTTGTCAGGATAAAAAAAATTTGTTGAATGTGTTTGTCCTAAGAACCACGTTAATTTGCTATTGATGCAAAATAATATATCCTTAGCAAATTTGTTTGCTATCACGGAGAAAATAATTTGCTGGCCCAGCAAATTTTCTGCTGGTCTAGCAAAATCTTTTCGTTATTATATGGACAGCAAAAAGATTTGCTAAGAATACTAATCGTTATTTGTTGGATATAATTTGCTGAATCTATAAATTATTTTGCTACAAGAACCATGATGGATCTATATAAGCACTTGCAGTTTTGCTCCGATAGCAAGTAAATTTGCCAAAGATACATTATTTTGCATCAATAGCAAATTAACGTGATTCTTAGGAAAAATACACTCAACAAATTTTTTTCTATCTTGGCAACTAAATTACTTCTGCTCTATAATAACGAATAATTTAAAAATTAAAATTAGTTACAACAAAATTTTTTTGATGTCACTACGAATATGCAGCAGCAACAACGATTTTGTTAAAAGAGCAAAATTATTTTTCTCTGTGATCGGAGCAAAACTGCAACTGCTTATATAAATCCATCACAATTCTTATAACAAAATAATTCAGCAAATTATATTCAGCAAATAGTGATTAGTACTCTTAGCAAATCTTTTTGCTGTGCATATAATAACGAAAAGATTTTGCTGGACCAACAAAAAATTTGCTGGGCCAGCAAATTATTTTTCTCCGTGTATGATATAATTCACATACAAAACTCGTGTAGCGTACCTGCGTAGTTACCATTACTGCGTTTTCCTCTGTGAGTGCGGAAAACGGCAAGATTTTTCAACGCTCGTCAGGTAGTCGCAAATTATCCGCAAGAGGAGGAACATCGTTCGTCGGTGTTTTTTTTTTCTTTTTTTTTTGACAGAGACGACAGAGATACATCGTCCACATATTTCATCGATGAAATTAATTCCGCGAGATTCAGGTTATTTATATACGCGCGACACACGCACACACACATATGAGTCGCTATTTATACATTACGGCCGGATTAATCGGACGAAATACGCGGCCGCGGACGCGAAATCGATAAGATTAATCTCGTGCGCCGCCACGGTCTCGGAATGACTAACCGCATGATTAATGCATGTTAATCACCTCTGCGTGATCTCAGTGCGAGTTATGTTGTGCTCCTGTCTCTGCTCGATCCGACGGTTCACCAGCCTAATAGTTGATCAATTCGCAAAATTATCAATCAACCACACAAGCTCGCGCCTATTGCATATAGGTGTGAGTCGTTGTAACTGTCTTTTTCGCTCAGGTCAAGAATAATCAAACGCCGTGTCGTGCCGCTGTTGTCTCCCTTTTTCTTGTTTCCGTCTCGCGCGCGTCTTTCCTCTCCCCCTCGTTTCTTTATTATTTTCTCCTTTGCTCCCTTTCTTTTCTTTCTTTTTCTTCTTTTTTTTTTTTATTCTTCCCAATGAAACTTCTTTACCTCTCAATTATTAAATATCTCGCGAAGTCTCTTAAATTAAAATTCTGTTAAGACGAAGTTCCACGGGAAATTCACGGGGGAAATAAGACCTTGTTATCTGTTTGTAGCCCTGAAGCTTAACGCGCGCGCGAGCGTACGCCGAAACCTTTTAATCTTCCATGTTAAGTAACTCCGTAATTACGTCTGAATTATCGTAAAAGGAAAGTCGACGTCAAAGTCGCCCAAGAATAAAAGCTGAAGTTTACTCGCGCAAACCCCGTACGAGCAAGAGAGATCGAGAAATAGAGAGAGGGAGAGAGGAGTGTCTGCGAATTACGAAGTGTTCTCTTCTGATCGAGTGGCAGACGGGAAATATACGAAACGCGTGAGATCAGAGCATTGCACGTTGGAACCCGGACTGGAAATTTATCCCTTATCAAGTTGATCCCAATCAGTTATCTGGTTTGTAAGTGACGTTATCGGGCTCTGATAAGTCGTGTAATGCAACGTGGTAATCGGGACTCCATTAATTCTGATATGCTCCCAGAAAAGCTTCGCGCCGTAAAATATTCAATTCTTTTCGATCGACTTAAACTATTACAGTTTTTAACTCGTGGTAAGTAGAAATTGGAGTTGCATTTTGAATCGCCCTTTCTGAGGAAAAGTTTTACTGAAAATTCATACTACACATAACGTGACTTTTAGGAAAATTTTCCTCAAGGACGTTTCGTAACGCAACCTAGATGTATTTTACAATTGTTAAAAATTCTTCGAGGAAAATAGCAAAGAGAAAAGAAATCTAAGTATGTTTTATTTATCTCAATAAAAAGAACCGCAATAAAAATCAACAATAAAGAGGTTGATAATGAAGATTGTTAACGACCTTATTAATAATTAGGGTTTGTACAAAGCAAACAACTGATGGGAATCAACCAGACGAGAAATGTGGGATGAATTTCCAGGAAAGAATGTCAGTGATATGGGCGAGCGAGATAATGCGATGATTCCGAAGGGAATGACAAAGTGACACGTGAGGTGTATGAGATGTACGACACACAACGTTAATCGTCTCGTCGCGCACGACGACTAGAGAGAAGCTGAAGAGTGCGGGACAGAGAGATTTCGGCCGCGGTACCGATGATCGAAGTTCTACTTAACATAGAGAAAGACACTTACAGACAGGAGTCAACCAGCTGATTATTTGACATACCAGCTGATTTGTGCCTCTCGCTCCCAGGCAGTGGATGAGGTCCCCTGAAATCATGAAAGAACAATTTTCCCAATTAAACATACGTGTCTCAGTGAGTGTACTTTAATACTCAAGATGTTTCATATATTTTGCTCAATTTTAGTCTAAAATGTAAATCACACGAAGAAAAGTAATTTGCTGATTCAGCAAATTTTCTGCTAGTCTAGCAAAATCTTTTCGTTATTATATGGACAGTAAAAAGATTTGCTAAGAATACTAATCACTATTTGCTGGATATAATTTGCTGAATCTACAAATTATTTTGCTCTGAGAAACATAATGGATTTATATAAGCAGTTGCAGTTTTGCTCCGTTAGCAAATAAATTTGCTAAGAATATATTATTTTACATCGATAGCAAATTAACGTGATTCTTAAGACAAATACACTCAACAAATTTTTTTATCCTGGCAACGAAACTACTTCTGCTCTGATAACGAATAATTTGTAAAATTAGTTACGTCAACTAAATTTTTTTTCTGTTACTACGAATATGCAGTAGCAACGACGACTTTATTAAAAGAGCAAAATTATTTTTCTCCGTATTTTGCTCCGCAGGAAAAATCTTTGGAAAAACTTAAAGATAACCAAATGTGATCTGTCTGAGTTTTCCCACCTAGATTCGCATGTTTGAAACATTACATTTCTAACCAGAATCTGCATAAATTTTCCACCTAGAACGCCTGGTTATTGTGGGAAATCGGACTAGATCCCAATTAGGTCTCAAAGTATTTTCTATGCGGGTTCTCACATATATGCCAGCGTGTTGAGTCACCATTTTATCACAATTTTGAAACAATTCGCCAAATATGCGCGGCGCGTATGACTTCATGAATTAATTCAAATCGAGTCACGGTCGCGTTTAGTCGCGTCAATTATAACGTTAGGGAAGCCGAGAATATTAGCTGTTTCTCTGCCAGGACTTTTCTGTATTTATTTATCATTGCCGATCGATAGTCATATTTGTGACGCTCGCGAATTATAAACGCCGGCGCGACGACGATTTAATCGCGAGCGCTCGTACTATTTCATAGTCGGTGCGATTGATCAAACTTGCAGACGACTTCTCTGCAGAAGAAAAATAATGTTTTCGCGCGAGGACAATTTGGTCCTGCTCATTTTCGAGATTCAATTCCTTTTCTTTCCTTTTCCTTTCACGACCAGTCGCGCCCTATTCGCCCGGCAGAGGACATCGTGCCGCGCGAGTGTCCAGGACATCTTTCTCCCCCTCTCTCTCTCTCTCTCTTTCTACCTACCTACCTACCTACCTACCTACCTACCTACCTACCTACCTACCTACCTACCTACCTACCTATCTATCTATCTATCTCTCTCTCTCTCTCTATATTTGCATCGCCGACAAAGGGGGTTTTTTAATTCGCCACTTAACACGTTTGAGCCTTTCCAGGCCCCGATTAATTTCTCACCCGGGCGCACCTCCGTCGCGCTTTCCGATTTACCGCGGATTTTCCGGCCGGCTGCGAAAACTCCGTCGTAAATTAGCGCCCATTGAGGCATGGAGGGAGCGAGAGAAGAGGGCGAGGAGGGTGACCTGGCACTGAAAATCGTGTCGTTCGTTCTCCCGGAGGGAGCGAGATGATACGCGACGTTCGATAGCGCGGCACGCGAAAATAGACGCGAGAATAATTAAATCCGACGTCTTTCCTCTCCGCCCGGAAAATGGTCTATCGACTTCGACGGGAAACGAGGACGGCGTCGCAGGTGATTTTCGAGGCGCGAGCGAAACTACGTTATACATACACATCGGGGAATGTAACGCGACGAAGGCGCCGAGTGTTCCTCCCCCGACGTTTAACCGGGCGTCACAAGCGAGATATTCTTTTTCCTTCATGGCGAACTAATCCTTCCTCTTAAGTGTGGCGTGTGTTGCCTGCTTCCTGCGATACCAGAGATCGGCCATCTCGATATCCCGATGCGAGTCGTTATTTCAACTCGCGAACAATTAGACACTTTGATTTTTCAAAGAGGGTCAAAGGGGAATTACACACAAGATATCGTGTGAAAAAATTTTTTAAGTATGCATATCTTGAAATAAAATACAACATAAAACTATGTATTTTTGATTTATAAAATGAACTTGAGGAAAACAGAAGTAGAATCTCCAAATACTAGATTTGAGGCTTTCACGGCCATTAATACAATCTATAGTAATATCAAATCTCCAAATAGTCTTTTAAGAAAAATATTTCAAAAACCCTGGAAATATGAAATAATTTTCTATCAATTCTAGTATTTTCTAATGATTAGAAGTCGATACAAAGAACTAACTAATTGAGTCAATAATCATATTTTTTCTTT